CTTCATGTAGCCATACTCTGCACTCCGTAGGCCATACAGCTGGAGCATGGGAGGTGAATACGTCGTAAAAGGCAGTTCACTATAATGCTTTGTAAACATTTTCTTATGCAAATTTGTAAACATGGTTAACTGCATGCTTACAAAAAACACACCACCGTGTCAACAGCAAATGTTCCAGCCTATTGGGGACAACGTTTGTTGAACCACAAGAACTTTGTAGCTCCGAACATCTGGTACCTGTGCCGAGGTGTGTGCATCGTATATATATATTTTACACTCTTGTTGGATCTTGAGGTCAATGACAAAGTCTTCAACAGCTCGTATCCTAGCTCTTTTCTCGACGAGGACCTACCGTAGGCCACACCCTCAATTTGTCCTCATCTAGACCAACTGACATGGCTACCATCCACCTACTAGAGGGCAGGCATACAGGACTCTGGAAAGAACTGGCAAACACACAGGAGATGATGGACAGGATGGATAGAGGAGGCAGGGAAGAGAGGGAGTTCAGTTAGTTGCTGATCTGTTGGGTTTCTAGCAGCGTGAAATCGAAAGGGTTGGCTATTTCATCGCATTGACTCTGACAGTTGTTGATGAAGATTATTAGTAGGAAGAGAGTAGCAGCTGATTCGATCGGCTGATTCATCGTCGTAGCTAGCTAGCTAGCTATAGCTGATTTTGGCGGTGCCTGGTACGTCTTGCGCATGCGCATGACATAGCTACGCACTGCGTAAAAGTTACGTTGTCTGCGCGCCACGCCCCTCGCACGGTGCTGCACTGGTGTGCTTCGTGGTATGTCAGCGCACACAAGCCATGACTCTAGAGAGGACCGATGTTTACTTTCTTCTTCTTCTTCTTGTAACCTCCACGAAGGAGCGTAGCCTATGGGGTAGGCAATTATATGCGGGCGAGTAGTACACGTGGATAGTGAGCAATCGACAAGCTGTATACGCTCAGTGTCGATCTTGTGTGCATGGTCGACACGCTGATACGTTATACTCGTGGTCTTCTAGTACTCTGTTTGTGGTCTGTCTTGTCCCTGGGCCTCAGGTGAGATACAAATGATCCACTTTCGTATGATACGAAATGATCTCGTTTACCAGTCCAGCAGCTGTAGACCTAAAATTTTATTGAGGGTGTCCTTAACCAGGACGCTGCACAGAGCATAAGTGCGGAGGGAGGTCGATAAAGATATGGGTGTGGGCCTACAGACACCCTGTGATTAGTGGGCATGTCAGTTGACCTGGAAGTCCAGCAACTTCTCTCTCTTGAGGACAGAAAGGGGGGACTTTTCTTGTGTTGGAGGACTCAGTACACGTTTTTGCGTGATGTACAGTACAGGGACCTATACGTTCTGCCGGACCCACTCACTGCCATACTCTGCCACTCCGTAGTCCACTACAGCTGTATGCATGGGTGAATACTGTCCGTAAAAGCAGTTCACTATTTTGTTAAACATTTTGCTTATGCAAATTTGTTAAAATGTTTAACTTCATGCCTTGCAAAAAACACCACAGTTCAACAGCAAATGTTTCAGCCTATTTGGGACAAACGTTTTGGGGGTTGAACCAAAGAACTTTGTAGCTCAGAACATCTGCCTTACCAGTCAGTTACATTTTGAATGATGGTGTGTGCATCGTATATATATATACACCTCCATTGTTTGGATTCTTGAAGTCAATGACAAAGTCTTCAACAGCTCGTATCATAGTCTCTTTCTCGAGGACCCTACCGTAGGCCACCCCCTCAATTTTGTCCTCATCTAGAACGACTGAGACATGGCTACCATCCACCTCACTAGGAGGGAAGGCATTCAGGACTCTGGTAAAGACTGGAAACACAGGAGATGATGGGATAGAGGAGGAAGAGGGAGTTTGCTGATCTGGTTGGGTTTCTAGCAGTGAAATGAAAGGGTTGGCTATTTCCTCCGCATTGACTCTGCAGTTGATGAAGATTATTAGTAGGAAGAGAGTAACAGCTGATTCTACTCGTTGATTCATCGGTGCCTTGGTTACGTTTTGCGCATGCGCAATTCATTATGCATAGATACGCATGCGTAAAAGTTACGTTTGTTGTGCCCCGTGACGCCACGCCCCCTCGCACGGTTGCATTTTCGGAACTTGGTGTGCTTCGTGTGTATGTCAGCGCACAAGCCATGACTCTAGAGAGACCGTGTACACGTTGGATCAGTGAGCAATAGCATCTGTGGTAAGGATTAATAGCTTGTATACGCTCAGTTCGATCTTGTGTGGTCGTACGATGATACGTTATATCCTCTGTGGTTTTCAGTTCTCTGGTTGTGTTCCTGTCTTGTCCCTTGGGCCTCAGGTGAGACTACAAATGATCCACTTATTCGTAGTGATACGAAATGTATCTCGGTGTACCAGTCCATGCAGCTGTAGACCTAAAATTTGTCATTGAGGGTGACCTAAAACCAGACGATGGCACAGAGCATAAGTGCGAGGGAGAGTCGATAAAGATAGGGTGTGCCTACAGACACCCTGTTGATCTAGCTGATGTCAGTCTGACCACTGGAAGTCCAGCAACATCTCTGCATTTGAGGCCAGACAGTTCGTGGACTTTCTGTTGTTTGATGAGGACTCAGCTACACTGTTTCTGCCAGTGATGCTAGTGTACCAGGACCTATACATGTTCTGCCGGACAACTCACTGCTACGTTCACTATTATCTACGGTACGTGAAAATGTTGTCGACATCCTCACGTCTATTTAACCTTTATCGCACACTTTAATCCCATGTGCTGAAGATGGGTGTTTTGTATAGTAGACGTACATGTATCATGAATTCCTAGGAAATACCTCTTGACACAGTGATTCCCCTATGGACATTACCAGTAACCTGATGTACACTTTCCCCCATGTGCAGATGATACTAGCTCCCAGTGTTCAGGCACCACCACTTCCCCTACTACTCAACCTACTAGTCCGTCCACTGAGCCAAGTACAGGGTCCACTCCTGCCACCACCGGCTCCAGTTCTCAACTCCTCTACCAGTGGCGGGACATTTGAAGGAGCACCAGCTCTGGTGAAACATCCTTCAAAGGTGGGTCTATATAGTTTTGAGTAAATATCTAGAAGTTAGAACCCCCTCTCTTTCTTCATGTAAAGTGTGAGCTGTTCAGTTTACCTACATGTATATATAGAGCTACCTACTTAAGTGCAACGAAACTCAGCTCGCAGTACAGTGCCTCAAATAGACTAAGCACTTTATTTCACAGCATTACCCACTTTTCCCCTAGTGTGATGAAAGTGTGTAGTGTAGATATGCAGGAACTTCTGTATTCCATTGGTTTACAAGAGTTGTCAAGCTTGGCCTCCCTGACTACTGAGTCGTTCAGTCGGTATATATACCCACAGCATAATGCCATGTGATGCAATGAATACGTAGAATATGAGATTACATGACAGTGTAAACATCCCATTTCGCTAGTTGTGTGTGTGTGTGTTAGGAGAGAAGTAGAGGAAGGGAAGAGAGAGCAGGGTTGTGTGTGCTATAAAAGGAGTGACTGTTTCTCCCTCTCTCCCTACATGTGTTTGTCTGTCAGGTCTAAAGCCACTCATCTACACCGTGGCGTCTGTCATCCTGCTGGGCTTCATACCTGCACAACAACTTGTGTTATCATTGCAGTGACCACTGTTTGTAGTGAAAAAGCCCTGTGATAAGTGATGAGAGTAGGCCTTGACAAAATTTGCTTTTTTCCCTACCTATTTTGCTTTTCTTTTATGCTAAGTATTTGTACCCATTTTGATTCTTATTTTAGTATATTAATTAAAAAGTCACTAAGAATATAGAGGAAAAATGAGGACGCCATGGTAGAGTGGTCGAGGAAAAATGAGGACGCCATGCATCCATGATACCATACTAAACAGTCACATGAACTGAGTCATCGCGAACGAGTGTTGTATTGTAACATTACTGAAAATTCGACATCATGTGCGTGCATGCTCGGTAAGATATTGCGCGGTTGTAGTTTTAGCACACTTCAAGTGCAAGTCCAATTTCTTACTTGCCTATTTTGCTTTGTTGGATCAAATTTACAGCCATTTTGCTCGCAGAATTGCTTTTTCTTTTGGTTGCCTATTTTGCTCGAAATTTTGCTATATAGCAAATTTTGTCAGGCCCTAGATGAGAGTCTATATTATATTCTACAGGAAAAGCACAAAACACCAGAGTTATAGACGTTCTGTATTAGAACCTGGGAGATTAGTGTTGTTGTTCCAAACGGCATTATAGAGGTAGACTTTGCTGGCGTCACTGCTCAAATCTCCTGTTGAGAATTCCTTGATGTCGTGGGCAGGCTGGTGAGGGTGTGTCTGGCTCCTCCTCACAATCACCACCACCTCGTCTCCCATCCCCACCTCTCCTTCAATGTAGCCGTACTCTGCCACTCCGTAGTCCTCCACAGCTGTATGCATGGGTGCATACTATCCGTAAAAGCAGTTCACTATTGTTAAAAATTTTGCTTATGCAAATTTGTTAAAATGTTTACCTTCATGCCTTGCAAAAAACACCACAGTTCAACAGCAAATGTTTCAGTGATCCTATTTGGGACAAAGTTTTGGGGGTTGAACCAAACAACTTTGTAGCTCAGAACATCTGCCTTACCAGTCAGTTACATTTTGTATGATGGTGTGTGCATCGTATATA